TAAGTGTACATCTGGTTCTGTGCATTTTTTATTTTAGTCTGGATTACCTGCCCTTTGTCTAAATTGTTGTCGTAATGAAAGGCCATTAAACGTTAATTTTTTTATTGTATATAATGAACGTTAAATTAATTTACTTAGAATATAGATATATTTAGAGCTATTTATTAACAAACTTAAAATGGGGAAACCACAATACTTATAATTATATGCCTAATTAATTGGAAAAATCAAAGACTATTTTCTTGAATTGGTCAAATCCCGGGATCCCTATATGTTTTAAAACGATCCCAGCTTTTCTGAAAACTATATACTTGAACTGGCCAATCCGTGAGATCTATTTACATTTTAATACGATCCCGGCTTTTCTGAAAACTATATTCTTGAACTGGTCAATTCCCGGGATCCCTATATGTTTTAATAGGATCCCGGCTTATCTTAAAAACATCTTCTTAGACTGGTCAATTTCTGGGATCCCTTTATTTTTTAATAGGATCCCGGCTTTTCTGGCTGAATTGATTGACAACTTGTGTTTACTTTAGGACTTGTGCATCTCATTCCAATACTAAATAACATACATGTATTACAACTTAATTTTGTATAAAAAGACATCTTTATGAAATCTACCTATCTAACATTTTGTGGTCAAGGTCAACAGGCCATATAGTAAATGTGCATAGACATAGGTTCTTCATTCAATCTGTTTACATGCACCTTCATATATACTCATACTCATCTTGGTTAAACTGAGAGAACTTTATATGTCACTTTCAGTCAATGAGTTTAAGAGTTTGAATTTACTGGCCCGAATTCCAGTTTTGAATTTATTCTACTAAATAATTAACAAAGTTTTCTTAAATTTACACTGGCCTGAACTTATATACACTGGCCATCGGGCACCGGGCCAGTGTTGACTTCACTTTTATTTTGATGTTCGCTGAAGTCTCTTCAGCTAACAGAACTGTCATTTTTACATTTAAACACACCTCTTGAAAAAAATTACGAAGCGAGTCGCTACTAGCTTTTTTAAAAGCTAACCTTGTATTTTATTATAATGGCAAGAAGTATCATTTACATTTAAATAGAATGACAAGAACTATCCTTTATATTAATTTCAGAACGGCCAATGAAATTCCCAGATATCATTTTGTAATTTTGAAGTGAAGAATGAAAATTCTTCTTATATTCAGTTCTTTCCTGAAGTGAAACTGATTTTAAAACGGACTTCGGTCGGGGAAAAAAACAGAACTAAAGAGAACGCCCCAAAGCTAGCTACCGTATACGCATACCTTCTAGCACCGGCTTAAGCATTAATCATATTTAATTAATATTTTTCTTTCGTACACCGTATGCCGTAAGCCAATCAGAATGGAGTATCAGTGCCACCTGATAACAACATGAACGACAAAAGATCTCAAAAAGGGGAGCCTATTGGGCTTGCCATCCGTCATGTTTTCGTCGGTAAAGAATTTGTAAAAATGAAATACCTCAAAACCAGTTTGTATGGTCCTGTGGGGAAAAGGAAACAACCCAAAATCGCGTGTCCTCCCCATGTTTCCGTAGTATTTGTGGTTTAATTTTATCGTACTGAACATATTAAATTCGACCCAGTTTAAAAAGGAAACTCTGGTTTGATTAAATGAATTATATTTGAAATAAAACAATTCTTTGTATAATATTATGAGAAAAGTGGTTAGATTTATTATTAATGAGGCGTAATGTTTGAAAATATGGAAATATTTATACCACAATGACGTCAGGTCAAGGAAGTGATATAACTAAATAAACAATTTCCCTACTGTAAACAATACATCAGAAACAAAAAGACCCCTCTTTACATGTAAACAATATACTATTTATAAGAGCATATCGCTTAACATGACGTTATTTTTATATACTAACTGTTCACCTAGTCAGTGAAAACCTGTTTCGAACGTTGACTGCTAATTGGGACGCGCGTTCTACGTAAGTGAACTATACGTAACGCGTTCAATTTTAATTGTCACGTTCGTTTATATATTTAGAAAAAAGGTTATCTAGTTCATCGGTTACTACTGTAGCATTATATTAAAGGGCATTGGTCAATCGTAAAGTTATCCCCGGTACTCCCCTCCCAAAAACTCGGTGGAAATAGCGGGGACGCAACGGTGACTTGTGCAAGATTGTCCGCTGTAATACAGCCATGACATAATGAAGTAATAATAATTCCCCACTCCGCTAACCCCATATCTCGCACGCTCCAACGGGGTATTTTCATTTTTGTTAAATACGATTCAAAATAAAAAGGTCAACTACCCGCTTTTATAAACCTGATAGTAAGTTTAACTACCCCAAATCAGAAAGGTTTTTATTTTTATTTAAATGAGCCAGTAAACTGTTGATTTCCTTTGATGTTTTCCTTTCAAAGAAGCGCTTTTATTCCAATCAGTTGGGTATCAGTCAATTTGATATTTTTACACCAGAGATTTATTTTTAAAAATTTCAATCTAAAGTCAGCGAAATAATGATAAATTGAAGGGACGAACGAACGGACGGACAGTTGTGCCAGCATTATGATTTCGTAAGGTTTTTTTTCTTCTTTTTTTTGTTATTTTATTTGGCTTTTTCTAACACTATTTTTTAACTAAGATTAGGGTCAGAATGAAGCTCAAAAATGCCCAGATGGACGGAAAGACAGACGGACGAACTTGCAAATCAAGTAAACATATAAACAATATGTTTAATTTGTTTACTGATTACAGCAATTGAAATAAAAACAATGATTTAAAACATAAAATATACTTCAATTATACATGTCCCCAATGATAAACATCGCTAATTAACATCACCATCAAATCTTATTTAAATAATGAAGTTTTTTTTTCACTTTCAATTTTCATTTTTGAAACTTTCAATGCAATTAATGCAAATGTGACGAGAATTCATAATAAATGTAATGTGAAAGTTATTGTTTTTTGTTTTAAAGTAATTCGTTTTTGCTTGTAAATAACTTTAGTTTTTGCTTGAAAATAAATTTAGTTTTTGCTTGAAAATAAATTTAGTTTTTTTTTTCTTGACAACAGGTCAAGTCGATTAAAAAAAGCAAAATGATTGCGAAAGATTTGAAACTAAAAATACATGTAAATGTAAATACAGGAATGTTATATTGTGTTCTTATTCTTATTCAGTTGTCGTTTGCATTTTCACACAATTTTGCTTGATAAATCATTTTTATGCAATGCAATTTGTAGTTTTATTGACAAATGTCTCAGGTTTTGAGCACGTATGCTTACTAACCACCATCACGGATTTATATTACAATGTAATATAAATCCGTGCCGCCATATTGGTATTTTTCTTAAACAAAATAATAAGCACGAGTAAACAAAATTCATTAATTCATTTTACATATAATCATGTTTTGCACAATTATTGTTATCACATCGGTGTCGTGACTTTGGTTTAATTCAAGTTTTTTATTCAACCAGAAGTAATCACGGAGAATGGCCTCAATTGCCCCTTGGAGCTTCCGGGAAGAACAGTCCGCCCTTAGTTTTCTGACATCAAATTAGCCTAAATTTCTGCCGAGACTCAAACCACAAACTGCGAGTTGAAGTCAGCGGTCGTAAACACCCGGCTATAGTGAAAGTAGCTCGATGTACTATTCTTACATAAAAAAAGCAGACGATAAATGTTGTTGATCCTGATCATACAGACGCTTGTTTGATTACAATAAAACACGGAAAGTGCCAATAAATGCGGAAAGTACACGAGCAATTCATCATTTCACGCGTTATCGATCATCAGTGATTTTTTTGCATGTAAATTGGTAAACATGGTGTAATCTATCTTGTTTCATGTCGTCGTAGAAAACCAAATATTCAATCACTTTTCCCAATAACGTTTGTTGTTTCCCGGAATGATTTAAAACCACGGCCTTGTAATAATATTTACTTTATCAATTTATTTTGATAGTATTATACATTGTATAATGTTTTCATAGTGAATTTTCAGCTTATTTGCTCCGAGAAGATCCCACCCTTTCCCATCCCGTTTTTGCAAAGCTATTTGTGTACATATTAACAGGCATACTTCCGGAACATGTACTTCAAGAACGTTCCACCAACTACACACATATTTTGGGTGAAAAACAAGGAAGTAAACCCTCCGCAATTTCTACAAGCATGCAAGCAAGCAAGCAACAAGGACAATAAAACATCAGACTAATACAATTAAGAAAATAGTAGCATAAGGAATGTCACAATTTCCAAGTTTGTCTGATTGTAATGGTTAATTGTCTTACCACTTATACGGAAGTGGTCGGTCTCTCGCAGAAAATTTGGTAAATGCTGGTTACATTATTAGGAATGCCAGTTAGATTGACCGACGGCCGACAAATAAATACAAATGTGTTTAAATCGACGTACATGGCAGATGCTAAGCAAAGGCACATCTGTCTGATTGGCCAGTTGTTGCACTGAATTTGGCACATATATAATGTAATATATTGTCTAACTTTCTGGTTTAGAGATGGCTGCGGGAAAATGATTGTTATGAAGTTATTTTGATCTTCGTTCGCCATGTTGCAAGCGACATAGAAGCAAAAGTACGTTTGATCAACTACATGACTTGACATGCGCAATTTATCTAAAGCTCGTGGTCAAAGTCGCTCTAAATTATGTACATATGTACATATATGTAGAGAAGTTGGGGTATACTTGCGGGGAAGAGTTGTCAAACTGGTGTAGAATCCAGATCGAAACAATTTCAGACATAAATGAAAAAAGCAAAGTGAAATAGTGTATTTTCTATGTCGTAAGGTAACATACAAAACTAAAGTACAAAAATGAACCTAACGCATATAAACGATTTTTTGCTATTTTTACATTCATGAATATGATAAGGGCAGTGTATTTATTGGCCAGTATAAAAAGATCACAGTATCGAATTAACGAGTGATAGATTATACTTGGACGCACCTTTTTCTCCCGACGTTAACAGCGTTCACGTCTCGTTAACGCTGTTGCTGAACGCTTAACGTGGTAATAACGTTAACCTAATAATGCATTAAACGCTGACTCAGAATACCGTCAGATGTTGTATAAAATAACGTAGCTGTTTTCACGCTTGTCAGAGAGTCTTAGAGAACTGTAACGTTGTAAAGTGCTATAACTTTACGTTACGTTAAACTCTACAACGTGTTTTGAAGACGCTGTTGTTTGAATTGTTTTAATCTATAACCTTTGGATAAAACATTAATTGTTTGCAAAATTATACCTTTCATTAACCAGTTATAATACAGAGTTAAATGATAAAATAAATTAATATACGCTGGCTTAACGTTTCTCTAATTGAATTGCAATTTTACAAAAAAGATATGGATATATACAAAGCAATATTCCTGACGTCTGTTTTTATCCTGGTAGTTTATACGGAGGTCGGACATGGCCACGGAGGGTTACTCGAACCTCCAATGAGGAGTGTAGCATGGAAGTATGGATTCGACGCCCCGATTAACTACGACTGGATGTCACTGTATTGCGGGGGATTAAATGTGAGTATATTTTCAATTTGATAAATAAAATATCTTATTTTAAAAATAATGATATCTAATTTTCAAAAATAAAATGTCTAATTTTAAACAGCATTATCACAAAAGCAGCAACAGCAAATACAACTAAACTATTTCTCTAGTATCATATCTTAAATTTTTTTCTCTATGGGAGAATTTAATTCCTTACACCGATTTGATCATTCAGGATGACGTAAACAAGACATATTTTTAGAACTGATGCACGTGCTCTCGCGCTTTGTATTAAATCAATCGTCTGATTCAATGATAGACAGGAAGTGTTCAGAATGTCGTAAAAAAACCCATCGTGACATCTTAAGTAATAAATTAACAATAATAGGTCGAACCAAAAGTACATGAAAAGCAGTGTCATTACTATGATAAATCAACCGGCGGTTTTGGAGTAAAGGTCACTTTAACCTAAAACATGTAAATGTTTATTAGACAATTATTTTTAAAAGTCGGGTTATACATTAATTTCCGACTCTTGTCAAATGTGAAGCAACATTTTTAAACTCGTTTATACAGAATTTATCTTTGTACGATGGTGTAGGAAGCTAAAAGCTTATAGAAACAGTTTCGAATCTGTTCCTGCAACCAACAAGCATTGAACGATCAGTGTTAAGTTTATTGCTCAATGAGACAACGGCTATCTCTAGCGGGGTTTGAACCCACGCGGTCAGTAATCCTTAAATTACTAGCCACTCGACCTTGCTGCCACTACAAAGATATATATTTGCAATGCATTTCGAGGTGAAGTTACATAAAGTGAACAATGACTGTTATAAAGTAAACAGTAACTGTTTACTTGATAAACATAAAAAAGTTTATTCAGGAAATAACATAAAGTTAACTGTTTAAATACTGAAAAAGAAGAAGAAGAACAACAACAACCATTGAAATTACATGAATAAACGTGAATTAATAAACGTCAAAGCAAAATGATTTTAGTTGACGATTTACGGTTGCAGACACTATAAAGAACTTGTTTAGGTGAAGGTGAAGGTCACTGCTACTTCTGAATTAGGTAACTGTCAAGGTCACTGCTATGCAAGAATTTGGTGAATATGAAGATCAACCTTTTTGTGCTCTTTATTTACAGAACTTTACAAAGAACAATGGAACATGTGGTCTATGTGGCGACCCCTATGATGGCCCTTATGAGAACGATAAAGGCGGGATTTACGACACCGGAATTATTGTACGGCATTATCCGGCCGATTTACGGGAAATAGAGGTCAAGGTCGAAATTACCGCTCATCACAAGGGATACTTCCAGTTTAAACTCTGCCCGAATAACGCCGAGGAGCTGACACAGTCATGTTTGGACAGGTAAGTTTAAGATAGTATAGAGGTCATGAAGGTAAAACTGCCAAGTCCATAAATGTGAGAAACAAAAATTACATCACTCCCATAAACACAGCATCAGCTCTGTACAAATGTTTATCTACATGTCTGTTAATTTAATACCGTCTTTTTGAATACTTTAAAGACATATCTAGAATGTATGGTTTCATGAGTTACGTCATATCCTACTGTCAAGAATTCTGATTGATTTAAAGGAAGTAAACCAAAAATAATGATCACTGAAATAATAAGGATCATAGTAGATCTACATACTTATCATTGTTTTATGTTAAAGATATCCATTGCTGATTCGAGAGGGACGGCTTCAAGGTGACCCTACTCGATATTTCCCCCCTAAAGACCCGAAACTGAGCGAGGTCCACGTTCTTCTTCCACAGGGGGTCACTTGTGATCGATGCGTATTACAGTGGACTTACACCGCAGGTATGAAACTATAAAAATCTTAACAAAATATGTTTAGACGGACCAACACAGGCGATATATGAGCCAAATTGTGTTGAAATAGGAGTAACATTCAGACAAACGCAAAATAATACAAGAATTATCTTTAAAAATGATACACGGCCGAAGTAAAACTCATAAACATACATATAGCATGAACATATGGCAAGAACTATCTTTTATAATTTATTTAAGAACTATCCTTGAAATCTTATATTAGAATGACGAGAACTATCCTTTACATTTTATTTTTAAACTGGCCAATGAGATTCCAAGATTTCAGTTTGTAATTTTAAAATGACCGATAATAACTCTTTTTATGTTCAGTTTTTCCTTGTATATTTTACTGGAAGACAAACTGATTTTAGACGGCCTTCCGGAAAACAAACCGACTAGCAAACACACGTTAAATATATGATTGATAAAATGTTTTTGTCAAATCTGTTCAAAGAGAGACAACTTTTTTGAAACAATGCGTCGCATTAATCAAGGGAAATAATACCAGTCTAATTAAATTCTTGTTAAACTTCAAATGTTACGTGTTATGACTAAACTAATAAAGTGGTAATTCAGGGATGACGAATCTAATGAAATTAATCAAATTTTCAATGGTATTGCATTTACGTAATTAATAATCACATTCAAAATCATATAAGTTATCGCCTATATCATAATACAGAAAAACAATACAAATATTATAAAACATGCTTGCTTCAATCATATTGACAGATTTCTCGTAAACTGGCAGTAAATTATCATTGATATTTCATATATATAGAACGTCACGGTAGTTTATCGTATAAATAATGGATTGACAATTAGTGTCGTGTCGGTTTCACACGAATATAATTTTACGAGACACCGCTTCTATATTTAGCATGTTAAAAATTTCCTAAGAGCAGTTTGCACGTATCCTTTTCTTTTAAAGGAACTCCACTGAGGTTAGAAAAAAAAAATAAATAAATAAACGAATTTCTTACATAGATCAGCTGGGGCACTTAAAACAAAACGATGGAAACAATAAATAAGAAATATACTCAAAAATAAATTGAATGTAGTATGTTGGTGCTATTCTTAGCCCGATTTGATTGAAAAGCGTTGTAACGCTTAAAAATGTTGGTCATTTTCATAATTAGCACAATTATTCTGGAAAAGCGAAGTGAGCGAATGATCTGAAATTTTGCACACAATTTACTGGACTAGACCTACATCAAATGGAACTTAAATCTCGAAAACTTATTTCCAGTCCCGTCTAAACAAGACATCTCAATGGAGTCCACTGACGGTTTTTTACAGAACGGGACTTGAAATATTTTTCGAGGTTTGTATACCAATGAGCTGTATCTCTAGTCCAATAAATTGTGTGCATTTTTGCATTTTTTTTTGTGATCGTTTCTTCTTCCCATAATTTTTATTATTCAAAATGACTTTTAAAATGAGTATAAAGAGTTGCAACGCTAATAGCTTACATTCGATTAAAAATCTATTTTCAAGTTAATTGAGCATAATTCTTTATTATTATTTGCAGACATTTTTTCATTTTTAGTGCATAAAAGAATTCATAAAAGAATTTAAATTTTTATGCTTAAAATAAGTGTCGTATTTTTTACCTCAGTGAGGTGCCTTTAATAATGTTAATGGTACAAATGCATAGTTTGGCTTCATGGCTTTGCATAGTTTAATATTCTGAAGAAATATTATTTAGTCATGCATTTTGAAAAATACAACAAAAAATGCAAACTAACGAGAAAAAGTGGCTATTTTTGTACAATATCTATTTAATGCAAACAATCAAAATAGGGCGTTCCACTTGTGACAATACACTGTGGATGAGATAAAAACACTACCGAAATGTTGTTGGCATGTGACTTCTGGGTTTTTTTCTGATATATTTGTATCATATTCCCTTAGGACAAACAAATATCTCCATTTCTTAAGAGCATTAATTGTAGAGAAAGCAGTTAATTATTACAACAAATAATGCCTACAAATAAAAAAAATATTTCAATATTTTATGATTTAATAATTTTAACGTTTACCCGTTTTATTTGGCATCCCTAAAATAATGGATTTTTTGCTCTTTGTCCAGGTAACAATATTGGGAGAGATGTACAAGAAACGTTTGTAAACTGCGCAGATATAAGTATTGGTGGAACCTTAGATCGAGTCCCGGTCAAAAGTTCACAACCGAACGATGGCTCTGTTGTCGTGATTGGACAGCAGCCGAACCTGACCAGCATTATTGACCATGCATCCCCCGATGCTGTGAGAGAAGTTCTGACAGCATTGTCAGGCCACTCTCATGCAATGCCTAATGGATTTCCTGACACACCTGGTTTAAATCATCATGACCACGCTCGCGGGGAAAATAGCGGAATGAGAAACAAGGAATCTGTAATAAATCGTCAGTCAACGCCAAGATCTCGGTGGAATAATGATGGAGGTCAATGGACAAGAGTACCTTTAGTAAATGAATTGAATCAACGTTTAGCGAATCTGCAGAACTCAGATACACCCGGACTATCAAGAGATGATCGTCTAGGCTCCTCTTTGGACGGCCAGGAAAGAACTGGTATGAATTGGGACTGGAATGGCGAAGGAAGATTTATTGGTTTGAGTAATTTTGGTCCAAGACATCCTGGATCGTTCAATGGTATCTTCTTACCTCCATTTCAAATGGATCCATCTCAAATGAGCAGATTTTGGTCAAATAGTGTACCACCGCCTTCAGAAGTTACTTTTCAACATGTAGATAATGATCAAGCTATTAACAGACATCGGGAACAAACGTTAACAGATAAAGGGTCTCATACAAGCCTTCTTGGTTCTGTGGCTGGTGTTGCAGGAAGTCTAGCGAATAACCGTCACAATGGACAAACAGGTGCGAATTCACGCTTGGGCCACATTCCAAGACACTTCGTGAATCAAATGAACGAACTTCGGCAAGCATTTCCAAATAGTCGGCAGTGGAGGCGGGGCGATGGAATGGCATCAGCAAGAAATGCTGTTAGACACGCCCCTCCAGTAGACACTCACGATTTTTCAGTTGATGAAATAAGACAGTTAGTGCCTTCTTTACCAGTAAACATTGGTCCGCGCCAAGATATCGATAGACGATTTTACCCAGACGCAACGAATACGCGCGAAAACTGGTTCCCGGGATCTCACGTTCTAATGCAACGACAGCGCATGCGCCAAATGTCTAGAAGAAGACCACGCCTACCAAGGCGAATCGAGGTGCACACAATGGCGGTTGCACAACATTTATTGAGAAAATACCCTCAGTTAAGAGGACGAGTGTTCCTCTCACGACAGGGTCATGTGAGGAACCAATTTTCCCATATGATGAATAAATACGCAAGACGTCGAAATTGGTCGTCAACAACACGATAAAGAAATACATGAAACAGAAACAATACATTCACCTGCTGACTTTGTAAAACTGAACTTTTCCAGACAGTCTGCATTGATGTGGCAACGTCGGCGCTGATCCAGAATTATTGATAAGAATGGGCTTCACAATTTCAACAAGATACAACATATATTCCAAAGAGTATTGACATGTTACTACTATTCTAGAAGGATCCGTAAGTCACAATTTTGCCCCAAGATTGACGCTCAAAACGTACGAATAATATCCAAATGATATAGGTGTTCCACAATGTAGTAAAGTCCCAGGCTGTGGGGTTATGACAATATAACCCTTTCTCTGGATTCGAACATGTAACGGCAAATCAATTTCAATCCCAGTAACGTTCAGTAGCGAACTTTTTGATAATGTTATAAGATTTATTTTCCTTAATCTCAAAATGAAATTCGTTAGTTGAATAAGCTAGTGGTCGGCATATTTCTGTACTGTTTTAAAGCGGCTGTACCAAGAAACATTCATTCGAATTACAGTTAAAAATCCCTCTCTTGAGACCTCCAAACTGACTGGACCAAAGTGGTCTTAATATCGGGATGGTTTTCCGAGATATCTACTGTATTTCTTATTTAAATATGTAATTTATAGCATAATAATCCAGTACTTTAAAAGTACAATTCATGTATATAAGTTGTAAATAGTCATTTTAGAATACTCATTTGTATACGGCTTCTTAATTGTTATCATTTCTTTGAAATTTCAAGCAATGTGCCTCCAGATTTATGCTATTCTTATGAATATTTTGAAAATATTTCAAGTGTTCGAATGAAGTCGGCAAATTCCGTTATTCCTCTCTGTATTCATATCTTACGTAATATGCCGAAGATATACGATCTTTTTTTTTTTTTTTTGTTATCAATAAACTTCTTTCAAACTAAACTTTGGCGGAAAAATGAAATAAAACGATAAATTTACCTGCATATTATCAGCTGTTAATTTACGTTCACTGATGTATGAATAATTATTATGACTTTTTTGTTTCTTTTTTAAAGCTTATTTTTAACCCATATCCTTCCTAAAGTGATCAAAATAGACATTGCAAACAATATAACTCCAGACCAGACGACAAATACTCCAGTGTCTTGTCAGGGAACTGTTTGATTGTCATAATTTACTTCTTTTACTTTCTTGAAAAAAATGGACGAAAAGAAAAATAATTAAGCAGACGACATTTTAGCAGACGACACTTTTCCCAGCATGCAAAGGGTTTATTTATACACGCATCCTATTTATAGAGCCACATGTGTATAGATAATATCATCCATTTGTTTAGATTTTCGTCTAGTTTGCATATTTACCACTTATTTGCATATATACATCTAATTAGCATATTAACATCTCATGTAAGAAATGCCAACATGAATGTATAAGTTGTCGGACTGTGACTTTTCGGCTAATGCTTAATGACAACTTTCTATAATTAGTAAAAAATAAATTCAGCATTGAAAATCATAAGCTTATTTTGAACTATTTCACATACTAGTATTTTATTTTACATTTATTTCCGTTCAACTGTATCAGTCACGGCTCAGTGACTGGAAATTATTTTACACACACCCTGAACAATTTAGTGATAAATATATATAATTTTCTTTCGACTGAATCTGTTTTAAAATTTATACTCATTCACAATGTTATATAAATGTCTCTTACTTAGTGTACAGTAAGAAAGGTGATATAAAAGATCAATTAAAAAATGAAGAAAAAAATGAACTGAAA